GAGATTAAATACATTAACCCATACATTAAAATTAATTAAATCATTATTTATGCTACAACTACATATTTAATAATTTAGTAATTGATAAAAATTCTAGCAAATCTATGAAAACTGGTTTGTTTTTTTCAGTCCCTATCGCATAACATGGGCAGCAATTATGAAAATTTTATAAATTTCAAAAGCATGCACTGAGAAAGCCTAAAGTAATCTAATCATAAATTCAGGGCAATTCATCTTGGTGCAAGTGAATTGTTTTCAAGCTGTAGCTCTGTGCTGAATCATTGATTTTAGAGACAGGAATTCAAACCAGAGGAAAGTTGTGCAATGCCACCAATTCCTGTTTCTCTCAACTTATTCTATGCCATAAAAACAGAGTGCATGTCAAAGAACATGCAGCATTCAGTCAATGAAACACAGGTACAGAGGACTTCTTGCTTGTTCACTTTCTTTTTCCACAACATGAGAAGGTGTCTTGCATGCTGCTGCATTAATGCAACAAGGAAATAATATTCATTGTATACTATTAAATTTAGGGTAATTTAGTATTATTTCTTAGTACACTAGAGATGATTTTTCTACATTGAGATCTACATTGTACTATATATTTAACTTAAGGTTAGTTAATCCTGATTTCTGAATATCTTTTAAAGTTCTATATATTCAGCTATAGAAATTTGAAATGCAGCTAAAAAAGAAACTGAGATGGAGAAAGAGAAACTGACAGAAGCATAATCCAATACACTTTAGATTTTGATATTACTGTCGTGAAATTTTTTTTAATAATAGATGATACACCTTGCTCTTCTTTAATGGACATGTGCAGTAAATATAAAAATAAATAGATACAGAAGACATTCTCAAACAAATTAAAAAAAAAATTAGCCATTTAGTACTTTATTGAAGAAAAGGGTACTTGCATATTACCTTGTTGACAGCAAAACTGTTGTTAAGCAGTATAGTTAAGCATCAGTTATGGATACAAGTGGCATAACAGCACTGATAATATCTGCACTTTCATTTGATGTAAACCTGATTGATGCTTGTAAGTCATCTTTTGCTTTTACGAATAAGGACACAAATTAACTATTATTGCTTTTTTTTTCATTCTTAAAAACATTTCTTTAATTTGGAACCAACCTTCTAGGGAACAGCAAGTAGTAGATTAACTTAAAGTGGCTCCCAAAAGTGTTCGTACACTTATGATTTTCATTGAAATAGTGCTCTATCCATTAATTAAAAGTAAACTTTCTGAATGAGATTTTAATAATAAGATCTATAATCTATTCCTAACAAAATTACATAAAATATTTTTTAAATATAGCGAAACTTTATTTTTAAGAAATTAATAATCAAAAAATGACAAACATTTTATCTCACAAAAGTCTTCGTACACTGAAATATTTTTGGATAAAATCAAAAGTTAGAATTATCGTTCGCCGCTTTTTAAAATTTTTGTATTGTGGTGGCATTTAAAAAATCATTTGCTTTAATTTGATTACTTCATAATATTCTATTTATTATTGAAAAATGGGTCGCAGTCGTAAAGAAATTACAAACAGCATTTCGAAAATTGATAATTTTTCACCATAGTAGGGGTAAATCAATTCGAAATATCGCTAAATTAATTAATTTATCCCATTCTACAGTGCAGTATGTGATAAAACGCTTTATGGAAGAAAATCGGATTGAAAACAAGGTAAGAAAAGGTCGACCGAGAAAGTTAACTAAACGTGATGAGGGATTTATTATTAGAAAATTTGCGAAAAATCCACGTTTGAGTGCTGTAAAAGTTTCTACAGAATTTAATTCCAAAATGTTCTACTTGAATTTCACCTGAAATTGTTCGATGAGTTCTCAGAGAAGCGTTCTGCCCGTAAAACTTTTTTCTGTTGTTGAGAAAAACAGAAAGCTTAGGCTTTCATTCACAAAATCAATGATAAATACACCCGAAACGTACTGGAATAATGTTCTACTTGCTGATGAAAGCAAATTTAACATTTTTGGTTCCGATGGTCGAATAACTGTAAATATGAAGAACTTCATTCTAAGAATTTAGTTGGAACAGTTAAGCGTAGCAGTGGAGGTGTTCTTGTGTGGGAGTGCATGGTTGCATCAGGACTAGGTAATTTAGTATTTATTGATGGCATAATGAATCATTATTGATGGCATAATGAATCATTCTTTTTATTTAAATATTTTAAGAGACAATTTAAAATTATCAGCCCAAAATTTGGGTATTGGAAACAACCTTATTTTTAATCATGATAATGATCCTAAGCATAATTAGAAATTCTGCTCTCAACGTTCATCTGTGGTGTCTCTATAATTGTCCACAGGTTTTGAAAACACCACCTCAGTTGCCAGATTTAAACCCCATAGAACACATTTGGAAAGAACTGGAGGTTAAAGCATGAAAACACAACATCAAAACGAAACGCGAATTCAAAACAGTCATGATGGAAGTCACGATGAACATTGATACAGAAATTACAAAAAAACTAGTAAAATCTATTCCCAGACGTTTAAAAGCTGTTGTGGATGCTAAAGGATATCCTACTAAATATTAATTCAATGAAAAATGAAAATATTTACTAATATGTCAAGATTTTTTTAAGTGTACGAAGACTTTTGTAAGATAAAATGTTTGTCATTTTTTGTTTATTAATTTCTTAAAAATAAAGTGTTGCTATATTTAAAAAATACTTCATGTAATTTTGTTATGAATAGATTATAGATCTTATTATTAAAATCTCATTCAGAAAGTTTACTTTTAATTAATGGATAGAACCCTATTTAAATGAAAATCATAAGTGTATGAATACTTTTGGGAGCCACTGTATGGGATCCTGGGGCTTCAGTGGCTACCAAACGCGTCGGCAGGTTATGGATAGCCAGATTGTTGTGTATTATTTGGAAGGATAGCTTCGAATAATAAATAGGAAACCACGAATCACCTCCCATAAACTTGGTGTTATGCAACCCATGCCTAGGGTGAATCACACTGCAGTTATAGTGTCTTAAAGGAGCCTCTAGAATGGCTGGTATTTTCTAGAACACTTTGCCTTCCCCAGCAACAGGCTATACTGGGTGGACCTTTTTTATCCTGTACTTTCTTTTCTAGTTTATATATGGCTGAAAACAACAATATAATTAGAAATTCTGCTTTTGAAGGTGAAATCTCTGAGATAGACCTTTCTTCTCAAAACAAAGAAACCCAGAGGAAATCAATCGAAGGAGCAGAAATGGATCCTTCATCAAATGATGTAGAAATGACCTCAACTCAAGTTACTCAATCAACATTCTGATGGAAGCTATTAAAAGCATATCTGCCTCTCTAGATAAAATCAAAATAAAAAAGAGAATGTCCAGAGTACACACACACAACACACAAAAAAAAAAAAAAAAAAAAAAAAAAAAAAAAAAAAGAAACGTATCTGAGAATTGTAAATTCCCAAAGGCACTTGGGATGAAAAACTCAAGGGAAAAGGTAAAATAAGGCAGTATCAAAGGATGAAGCAAAATACAGCCCCGAAGACAACCAAAAGAGGCAAACCTGAAGGTTACACCTTCAGAGAGGCTCTTACAGTGGTCAAGATGGCTGTACTCATTGAGGGATATTCTTAAAAATGTTTATCGGAGGAACAGACTACTGATTTTTAACTTCTGATAATGTTGACTACTTTACTCAATATTAAAGAGTTACACCTGAGCTTTGTTAAGTGGTTCCTTGACTTTATAAACAAAGTGGAAGACCCAAACAAATGGAACTAGGAAGCATTGGGTTTTGTGCATTTGGACAGAAAATGCTATTTAAAGGTGCCTAATATCTGACAAACTCATCCTAACGAAGAAGAATTTATAGGATTTTACCATGAAAAAAAGTATGTTAATGAATATGATACCACATTTTACTAAAAAATGCATAAACAATGATGATGCAATATTTGTCTGATTCATTTACAGCTAGTCAAGAGAATTAACATCTGTCAAATGGGGGAAATGAACACACGAATATGAACGCATGAATATAACTAACAAAACAGCAATAAATTGGAACTATTATGTATGGTAAATGAACTCGTAGCTTTCTAAACAGACCTCCCAACAAAATCAAAGAACTTAACAAAATAGCAGAAATTGACTAAAGCCTTTTTATAAAGTGCAAAAATGAAGCGGGTTGAATACTGTTTGTTTACTAATTGTCAGTCCCTCCAAAATATGCAGCAATGTTTAGCACAGCTTTAGTGGGATCTTTGCCAAATTTCATAGTTCAATGGTAGTCAACCTTTATGGTCAATGGAATAATATAATTGGTAAAATGATTATATCTAAACATATAACTATAATGTAGTCTTCATAAACCAAGGGAAACTGAACTGGGACTATGATATAAATGTTTAACAATCTTAACTAATTATAAAATTTTATAAATATTTCCATGTCCTCAAAACTGGTGAATTTTAAACTTTTATCATGTGTGTTTCATTATTTTATTTGCTACGCAATACTCAACAAAGTTAATATGCAAATAATGCAGCTAACTCTGAAATATACATCTAGCTAATTCCCACACATTAATATGTATATTAATATACATTATAATAATATAATATTAATATATATGTTAATTTGATGTTAAGCAGCATATTCATTGTGAAAATTCAGGATACACCCTGCATAATGAATAATTAAAAACAGCAGAATTTTAGATGCAACATGAAAATTAACAGAATTTTAGAATAATATCAATTCAGACTATAACAAATGTTCAGTTAAAATGTCTGTAAATTGAGCATTGAACACTAACATTCTAAGCATACCTCAATTTTAAAGCAAAAAATGTATAGTTATAATAATTATGATTAAAAACATTCTTACTAAGTTCATGAAACCTCTAATGATAACCAACATCATATAAAATAAAAATTATCTACAAATATGTGTGGTCATCACAGGAAATTTCCATTATAATATATGCATATTTTGCAGAAAATACTTACAGAATTTTTATCAAATTCTTCACTTAAGATATCACTTGAACTTGAAGATATATAATTAAGAGCATCTTCTGCACTTTCTGTTACAGGAGAAACAATATCTTGTACTTTCGGTTCATTAAATAGGTATGGATTTTCTTCTATAGGAAGATTTAAGGCTGGTTCAGATGTTAAATTACAGATATTATCATCCTTCTTAGAAATGTTAGAGACAGAAATATTGTCCTGGCATGGATTGGAAGATAAATCTGCTTGCTTATCACCAGCTTCAAGCATATTCTCGGATGCTCTTTCAGATTCTTTCACTTTTTCATTTTGAGAGTAAATGACTGAGAAATTATCTGAACGATGCTCTTCAATGGTACTATCAACAGAATAAGAGTTCTCAATTTGTTCTTTTATAATATTATTATCTATTGACTTAGGTATTTCAGATTCAATATTTTCATGATTACAAGTATTTTCTACACAATGGTTGTTCTCATTAGGTTGATCAGACTTTTCTGTAGAAAGCAGAACTGGTTCTGATTCTTCAGCAGGATATGCAGAAATGGGTTCATCAGAGTTCTCGGAAGAAGGTGAAACAGATGTTTTTTCTGTAGAACATACAGATTGCAAAACAGATTCATCTGATTTTTCTGCAGAAGCTGAAACACATGTTCTGTCTATCTTAGCATGATTTTCCTGCTTTTCTTTTGCAACAATTAAAGATCGTAGTTTAGTTTTCAACCACCGCTCAGATTTAGCCCCTAATTTTAAGTATACAAAGTAAATTGAGAACTACAGTAAAATGAACAGACTTATTATCAATAACTGTAATATTTAAAAGATAATACAGAATAAAAGACTACAAAAAAATGGGAAAATGATGAGAACATTTCTAAGTTATCTTAGCAATAAATGCATATTTAAATGAGAAAATGCACAAAATATTTTACATAACTGAATTAAGTTAAGAAATTAATAAATATAATACTTAACAAAAATTCATATAATTTTACTGTCTGATCTCTCAAAATTAATATACCAGATGCAGCAGACTCTCAATTTTGCAGATGCACATAGATCATAAAAATGTTTAAAATCAGAAGTTTATATTTGGGAATAGCATTAAAAAGACAAAAACCTATTGGGGTAAATGTGATAATTCATAAAAACAATGGTGTGTTTAATACTTTTACTGCAATCTATTACTTCGCATAGTTTTATAAATTCCACAACAAACAATTTGAATGATTCACACAACTGTGCTGTTGTAAGTGAAATTTTAAAGAATATTTCTGGAAGACATGAAACCAATGGTTTTCTGTCTGAATTGAACTCTATTGTATGACTTCTGCTGTAAACATTCAAAAACTATTACATATGGTTTTCTAATTTTTTTTTTGGGGGGGGGAAGTGAAATATATGAAGAATAAAAGACAGTATTCATATGCTTTAAACTAAGTCACAGATCAAATTTGGGAATTAAATTTATGTAATTTATTCAGTATCTACAAGTGATTTGGGTGTGTTACATTAACACATTCTTATTTCTGCAAAATCTAATTAATTAAATGCAGGACAAATAACTTTCATTGATTCCAGATTCTTTCAATGTATGTACTACAGAACTGTTCTTCAGATATATTCATCTAAAAGAAATACAAAAGTCCTTTAACAAATTACTGTAAATTTTCATATTTATGAGCCTTCTGTTCATAAACTATTAATGAACGGCTATTCTGATCACAAAAAGTTAATGATCTTTCTAATGCATTCCCATTCGTGAACTCTTGATATTTCTAGCATTCATACAAGCGTGTAAAATCAGAAGTCTACTACATCAAAAGCTTTATGCACATAAATATTTGGAATTCTAATTTATACCTTTATAATCAGAACTCTCCAAAGTTCTAAACTGAGAATTAATGCAAGTGATCAAGTCGTCCTTCATATGATCACCACAACAGATTTCTTCCAAACTTTTCAGAAGAGCCAAAACACAACTAACACTTGCATAAACTACACTATTGTCACTACTATGGCAGCATTCCCCAAGAGAGTCAATGGCACTAAAGCAAAAAATATCATCATATATTTCTGAATAATTCTATATAAATAAAAATAAAACTGCATGAATGAAAATAAATGGAAAATAGGTTAATCTTCAGTTAGGGGTATTAACTTGGTGATAGCATGAAATGCATAGCTTGTTCAATTTATATAGGTGAAATTGAGGTCATAAAAACTTTATTTTATAAAGTTTAGTGCATATTAATCTTATCATTTTCAAAATACACCTCATTTACAGCTATAATCTTGTCTAAAATCAGTTTCCATGATTCAAAACTTCCAGAAATTACTCAGAAATTGAAGTCTTCAGCTGCCTCATTATTTCGCATTTGATCATCTTCATATCACCCCTGTGCACCCCTGCATGATATTTTTGTTTTTCATGAACAAAAAAGAATTTGCAAACGGTCAAGTCCAGTAACATGAAAGGTGACCTAATGAGATGATCGAATTACTGGCTAGAGACTTACGGACAAATCACTGTTGAATGTGCAGACACACTGTCATAATGCAACACCCATCCTTCACAACCATACAAATTTTACCACACAATGACATACATGATTACTCAAGCACTTAAGAACATTCATATAGAAGGCAGTATTTGCTGCTTGTTCTTCAGGAAGAAATTCATGGTGGATAACACCGTGAATATTCCGCCCCCCCCCAAAAAAAAATGCAAGACCTTGATTTTTTATTGGCTGTTTCTATATTTTCTCATTCATAGTTTGTTCATGTGTTTTCTTCAGTGCATTATCTTCATAAACAATTCTCATAATTTCATGAATTTATTAAGAGTTTACCAGATTCAATAAAAATTTTAAGTTGAGTCACTGTTCCTACAGTGACTCAATATAAAATTTTGATTGATCTCCATCATCATTTATCAATCTCCATCGTCTATAACAGAAAAAATGGGGGAAGAGTGAATAATATTCCATCTCTAATACTATGCTTACCTCAATTATCTGATGGTTAACTAATAATGGGTTCTAATTCAGAAGTCAAACAAACAAAAAACTTGTTGTTTTTGTTGTTTGACTTCTGAATTAGAACAAAAAAAACTTGTTGTTTCTGTTGTTTGACTTCTGAATTAGTATTTATTTGGCGTGTTATTGCGTCTTAAAAATGGGTTCTTCACCAACAGGGCAGCCAGTGTGTGTGGCCAAACATTACCTCAAATCCTGCTGGTAGCTCAGTTTGCCTATTTATTGGAACATATATACTACATATAATAGTATATTTATTGGGACAAATATATTAAAATATAAAACTATACATATCGTAGCTTGCTTCAATAACGAAAAATGAAACAATTCACCGATAATGTTCAAATGTTGAATTGCCAAAACCAATCCTGTACCCTAACTGAAAATTACCCAAAGATATATATAACAATTATTTATATATATCACAATTATTACTTCGTGAAAAATATTTCAGTAGTCAGACGAACAAAGGCAAATCTGAAAAATGAACATTTCTCACTAGTGACGAAAAGAAACAGTTTCTGACAATGTTTTGACCTTTCTATGACCTTCTTGTGACCACTTGGATACATAACAATTAAGGCTAAGGAGATACAAACATTTTGAGATAGCTTTTCTTTACATGAATTAGTCTGAAGAAGGCCATAGGATGGTTGAAAAATCTTGCTGTGGGGACACATCTATGAGTGTTTGCAGATTTTTTTTTTTCTATTCAGTTTGTCAATTTTTATTGTTGTTTTGTTTTAGAATGGTAAAAGTATTTTTAATTTAATAAAATGTGTGTTTCAATCTACAGACATGAATCAAAGCAAAAATATAAAATTACAATCTATGTGTTAGATCAGAATAGTGGATAATTCACTCTTGCAAATAAAATTCATTTTAAATACCATACTCTTCGACTCACAAAAGATAAAACTAAATACCCTTTATATATACATACACATACACTTATATATATATGTATCACGTATTTTTGAAATATGTATAAATTTTGCAAAGTCCTTTTAAAATTATTTGTGAGTTAAAATTTATTAATTTTTTTCTCACCCCTTTTTGATTTTAAAATCATCTCGACTTGTAGTTTTAACTTTTAGCTTTTGTGAGATTGCTTTTACTACTTTATTATTGTTTCTAGTTGTTGAATGATTTTACATTTTTGCTAAGGAACTAGAGTCAAATGTATTTTTTAGCATAAGCTTTTAAACGTTCCTCTAACTTCTAAAAATTTAATAAAAAAATTTTGCAGCTTAGTGCACAAAATTCTTGACCACTAAGGTTCTCTAATTCATGTTGTCTTGCTACTTGTATATATGCAAGCCTGAGGAACAATCTGTAACACAATTTCTGCAGAGTTCAATTTTTGAGCTGTTTTATATTTAAATAAGTATGTTGATTTCAAAACTGTAGCTAGTTTTCTTCTATCACACCAAGTTGTTTTGTCTACCCCTTATGTGAATGTGACCAAACTTCACAGCATCGAGCGTGGATCATAGGAAGTACTACTACTCTCCTACTGACTGATATAAACCCTCTGACTGACAGTGGTGAATGACACCATAAGAGACTAGCAATAAGTATATAACTGCCCAGACAGTCTAGTTATGCCCAAGGTATTGTAGTGAGAAGTTATGTATCACTTTGATATACTGAAGCACATTCTGACATGGTGTGCAAGCTCTTGTTTATATATGAGGTTAGCAGCTGTTAAGTTTTCCTTTATATATGAACTGAAACCTTTCCTCATGTCAGCCTCTTCTAGTTCCTCGTTCGCCAGCAGTCTGGATATACCAAGCAAAACTGTTTTTTCTGTATGTGGGACTGCAAAACTTGTGAGATGCATTGGGTGCAGTCAAACTGGATGCCAAAATCTGACCTGAAACCTGGTGATCCAAACATTCTACATCAACCACTTGTTGACAGACAGAATATTATATTTCCACCTCTGCATATAAAACTAGGTCCCATGAATCAATTTGTTAAAGCTTTGCCAATTGAAGGAGACTGTTTCAAGTATCTCAAGTTCTCATTTGACATTTCGTAGCTCGTCATTTGATTACCTCGTATTAACTTGCAGTAACTATATATACCTTTGTATAAATAAAATTAGTCTTTGTGAACAGCATATTTGATAATTTCTTTTATTTATTCCTCCTTGATATATCCCTTTTATTTTCGTTTAGATGCATGTTTTGTATGACTTTTGAGACAAAGAGAGGGTATCCTGTAGCTTAAAGAGTTGAGGTGACAGACAAAAACTGAGGTTATTTTTCGAATTACGTCAAAAGTTAGTAAAAAAACAAGTAACATATCTAAGACAACAAAATTTCTGTTCCCCAGTGTAATTATAAAATCATATTAAATACTAAAATTATAATCTTCCAAAGTATAACAAATAAGCAAAAGAAAACGTGAAGAAGCAGTAAAAAATTATCTTTGGTTTAGATTAAATTTACATTTTAAGATTTTTTTAAATTTCTTTTCCTATATATATATTATTTAAATAAGAAAGGAATTTTTGAAACCTAGAAGAAGTCATAAAAAACACTTGCAGTATCCTGTCAAAATTCCAGAAACACTTTATAATATAAGTTATAAAGTAAATTACAAAAATCATGTCAAACTACACAAAAATTAGAAAAAAAAATGCAAAAATGCACAAAACAATTTTGTTAATCTTTCCTGTTCAAATCTTCAAACAGAACTTGTCAAGGGAAAAGTGCCTGAAGCCTCCAACCAAGTTGATTAGCTAGATCAGGGTTTTTTAAACTGAGGGTCGTGGGACCTGCAGCAGGGGGTCACCAAAAATTTTAGCAGTTTTGACATTTCTTTAACTTATTATAACAATTTCACAATTACCAAGTATTTTTACACAATGTATCTGAAAATAGATAAAGACAAGACAATACAGATTTAAAAAAAAAAAAAAAAAAAACGAAAACTTTTCGATGCATTCTTTTTATAATATAAACGTTCATTTTCCTTGCTTTGGACATAATGCTATCATTTCGTCTGTTACTTATTTAAAATTTTTGCATTGTTCTATGCCTTAAAATTAGAAATTAAAGTTAATGACCTGAAACTGCAATAATATATTACAGTACAAATGAGAAAATTGACAGTTTCACTCACGCGTGTGTTGGATTTGCGCAATACTTATAAGGTCCCACAAAATTTTTGTAAATATTATGGGGTCCTGAGGGGTCGCAAAAAAAAATCAGTGATAAAAAGGGGTCATGACTGAAAAAATGGTTTAGGTCAGAAAAGTTTCAGTTCTCAAAGTTTTGAATTTAGGCTCCAAATGAGCTACGTCATAAGCATCACACAAGCTATGTGACATACATTAATCTAGAAATGACGCAGTCCGGGAAAATTATTGCAATTTTTAGAAAACAGAAAGAAAATACCAAAATTAAAAATGAGGAATTAAAAGCCTATTGCTAAATTGAATTATGAAGGTGGTTTACATATTTTTTCATCTTATATATCCTTCCTTTAAAGAGAAAAAGGCTTGGCGATAAAAATCCTTTTTAGCAGAAAGCATTAGAGAAACAAGGAAAATACAATGGAAAAAAAATCACAAAATTTTTATCTAAATGTTTTAAAATTACAAAATCTTGTAGACATCATTTTTAACAATAAATGCAAACTGAAAATGCTATTGAAATTTTGAAAATCTGCAAGTCATTTTTGTACGGAATGTCCTAATTTTTTCAAGAAATAGCTTCAAAAGTTCACAGTTCTGTAAAATCTTTGCCTGAATATCATAATCATAATCATAATATTTTGCAATCCTTAGCTTGATAGATTTTCATAAAAATTGTTGCTATCAATATAAAACCAAAATTTCCTTTTACATATTCATGATATTTATATTAAAAATTAATTATTTAACACCTATAAAGCAATTCGCATTTTCTTAATTGTAAAGCATTGTAAAATGGAATTTAGAACTTAACAAACATAAAAAGTAACAAAATTCAGTACAATAACAAAATACACTTTGATAA